GCCGCTCACTGATTGGCTGGACTCCAGCCAATCAGTGAGCGGCAGGCTGGGCTTAGTGCGGGGGGGGGGGGGAGCGAGGGAGTGAGCTGCGGATAGGCGGGGGAATGAGGAAGTGAGCTGTGACGCGCCAGCAAAAGGGCGCTTTGCAGCGACAGGGGCCAGGACCGGTACTGGCGTTCCCGGAAGTTAATTAACTTCCGGGTTCACCGACGAACCGGTTCGTGCGAACCAGTGCAGACCGGGAGGAACCCACCCCTGCAATAACCATATATGAAGGCAAGTAAGACATGAGAGCAATGTCAGCTACAAGGGATAGTGTATGACCTCCAGAGCAACCTATATGATACTAGATAAAAACCATTCTCCTTCTATAAGTATCCCTTAATGCTTGCTCAGGGCTGGAAGGAACAACCAATAGGAACAACCATTATCTCATGTGGTATAAAGTTTTCAGTGATAAGACTCATTTCCATAAGACATCCTTCAGAGAATGATGTCTCAACATGTAATTCATACAAATGGTGTCTTTAGGAGACCACTCCACTGACCATGTCTGGATTTGGTCAGTGAGCAGGCTGCTTCCAGTAGTTTAGGAAGTGAAATATGGGCTGGTTCAGCCTCCAGTGGTAAGTCAGAGAAGTCAAGCAAGTGGATTTTCATCTTAGATATTCATCCACCAAGACAACATTTAGACTTCATCTTTCACTTGGATAATCTTCCTTACTTGGGATACCTCGATGTATCCCAAAAGTGGAGTGGTTTGGGACCTTGCCTTTCTCTTCTTTGTTTAGATAATGCAGGTTGGGCCCAAAGGACATCTCTTCTTCCTGGCCCTGTAAAAAGCTCACTATGTTTATACTTATGCCTGCAAAGAAGCATTCCCTGCCAGGAAGCAACAGCCTCATTTAGCAGATCTTTAACCTAATCTTTTTTTTTCCCCCTAATGTTTTCACACAAGTTCATGGTCCACTTTATTCGGATGAATTGAGTGTTAAACCATTGGTTAATGATAGGAATTGACTGACTGGCTTGTCACCTGAGCCTGTTATCATGGGGGGGGGGGGAGAGAGAGAGAGGGTGAGTGGTCCAAAATCACTCAGCCGGTTTTCATGTCCAAGGTAGAACCAGAATGCACAGTCTCCTGATCTCAGCATTTATTCTAGAATACAGCTAGTCCTCAACTTACAAAAGTTCATTAAGTCTCCATTGAAAGTTACAACGGTACTGAAAAAAGTGACTGATGACTATTTTTCACACTTTTGAGCTATGTAGCAACCCTGTGATCGTAGGATCAAGATTCAGATGCCTGGCAACTGATTCATACTTATGACCATTGCTGTGTCCCAAGGTCATGTGATCCCCTTTTGTGACCTTCTGACAAGCACAGTCAATGGGGAAGCCAATTTCACTTAACAACCAGATTATTAACTTATCAACTACAGTGATTCACTTAACAACTCTGTCAAGAGAGGTCATAAAACAAAGCAAAACTCACTTAACAAATAAGTGAGTTAACANGAGTATAAAGCATATAAAGTAATTCATAGTATGGAAAATGTGAATAGAGGGAAATTTTGATCCTTTCCCCGTAGAATCTC